AATCGGGTTGTCGATAACTACAGGTGAACTTAATTAGTGTGGAAAAAACAGTTTGTTTTCATTTAATACCTATAAATTAAATTGCGTAATAAACCCATGTATGAATGTGTGAACAAATAAATACACATTCATAATTTGTATATATGTATGTATGTATGTATATATGTAAATATATTTGTGTACCCACGTATGTACATATTTATGTATGTACTATATATGTATGTATATGTATATATGTTAATATAGAAAGGCGCTAACTCATATTGTCGCTGAAATACAAAAAGCCGTAACTAAGTAAAAATCCGAAATTCCCCATTTTGTTTGTTTACGACGCATTTCATCGAATTATAAGTCCCCACACGATTTTAAGCAATAAAAAATTTTAGTCAGTTACGACTTTCTTGCGTTTCAGCGACTATATGAGTTAGGGCTTTTCTATATTAAGTTGAGGATGTATATCTTTACACATTTCATATGCATACCTACATATGTACATATGTACATGTGTACGCTCGTAAATGTTTTGATCGGATTGCCAGTATGAGAGTTTCGTTGTTTATTTAAAAAAAAAAAAAAAAAACCGGTTTTCGATTTAGTTGCTGTTACGAGATTTTCGAAACTATTTATGAGATCGCAAAGAGAGTCAGCCACATGGGTACATCAGGCGGCGCTCATTATCTACAACAACGATGTATGTATGTATATGATTTCTGCACATGTGTTTGTTTATAATCCATAGCGTCGTTTAAAGTACAAAACCGCGTATCGTCATTTTGCAAAACCGCGTAACTGGCATTTGCTGCCAAAAATTGGATTGCCTCACACACAAGCTCTTGGCTCAAACCCTCCATCCATTCGTCCTGAAACTATGCTAGCCAGAACTGCGATTGCTTTTGTAAAAAAGAGAACCATTTTCAAAAATATGAGTGTTTTTACGCTCTAGAAAATAATGTATGTGCAACCTCACATACGCAGTTTTGCATTTTGTTGATACGCGGTTTTGTACTTTAAACGACGATATGTATTATGTATGTACGTACATATATCCCGGCAGTAGGCAAGACCGCAAAAGAACTAACCCATCCCGCTGAAAGCCTTTCTTCGCCACAAATGACAAATGAAAACAATTTTGAGATTGATGCACATACATATGTATCTATGTATGTATGTATGTACACACATGCAAGTGATAATCCTCGAGACACCTTTATCGGTAACAGAAGGATGCAGCAGCTTATTTAACAGATTCCTTAACTGAACCATAAGATATTAACCACAAAATTGTCATCTTTCACACCGATTGGTTTTAGAGCATAATTTTCTAGAGCATATATTTTCTATTATCAATCAAAATAAAAAAAGCGAATTTTCGGCCCACGCTATTATCCTTACATACATACATACATATGTGTAAACACAAAGTAGCATTTACATAGCAGCAAATACATATCGTGTTAGAGGTCTGTAAGTTGGCTCGGACGGAATTCGTTTATTTAGATTTTTACGATGCTTTAAAAAAGCACTTGGAGTGCTTCAAAAAATTTGCAGCTATGTATCTGAAGATCGCAAACATTCTCAATTAAGAGTAAATAAAGCCGAATACGAGGCTAAAAGAAAATGTCAGATTAGTCAATTATCTTATAACACCCCTTTCCGAAACGAAACGTGTTTTAATTGCTGAAAATTATAAAAATATACGATTTATAAAGGAGAATCAATCAATCAATAAAATGTGTAAAAAGTTGTTTTTAGTGAAAGTATAGTGAATTTCAGTGCACTTAAAGTTTTTAAGGCGTTGTGTACTATAAATTGAGAATTGTCAAACTAGGCAAAACCAAATTAGTGGTTCGCGGAATGCGCTGCATTTGTTAGCCACATCGTGTGGCTTTGGCCTAGTTTTAAGCCTAGTCCGAATGTACTCGCCGCCGAAACTGTTTGGCGGGTGAGTTGCAGCTGCTATTTAGTTTTTTGATGTACTCTCCGCCGAATGAGAATGTCGCTTTTCGTACGGTAGAGAGGCAATAACACAAACATGAAAGCAGACATGCTTACACTCATAAATTACATTCATACATACATACATCCACATCTACATCTACAAATATGTTAAGGTAAAATAAAGTAACAAATTCTCTAAAAACGCCATCTCTTAACAAAAATGGAATGAAAAAAGAACCTAACTTTTGGACTTTGAACGTTTGGCGAACAGAGAATTAAGTCTGCTAACTGTAAAATAGTATATGTGCATATGTGTGTACGTGTGTGGATGCATATACATATATACATATACTTATGTATGTAATCTGAATTTGAACATTTGTATTGATTAAACTGAAAAATAAAATGTGTACCAATCTTATTTGTGCATTCGTACTATTAAATATACTGGAATAGAAGGGCACGCGGTGCAGTTGGACTCGATTGTTTTTACCGATAAAAAATATACAGTGCCCCCTCGGTAATCGCGACTCTCGATAAATGCGAAACCTCGAACATTTTTGTACTCAATAACCGCAGCACTATGGCACGTTATAACAATGAATGTATTACAGTGAATGCCAAAAATTAACGTTTATATGTAGGTATGTACTACATAAATATGGGGCACAGTTCTCGCCAAGTGTGCAGGAAAAAAATTGTATACCAGCCAAGGCGGATTCATATGAAGTGTTGTTGCTAGAACAGCTGCTTTAATTCGCCTCGGTACACATACATATGTCAAAACCCCTTATGAGTGAGTGCGTAGGGAAGAGTGTTGGCATTTTCTTTCCCTCTTCCTCCTTGAGCGAAGAATTGCTGAAATGTGACATTTGTGTGCCGAAAGCGAAAACAAAATACATGTTAGTTTTTGTTTTTGTACTACCGCTATACCACCTTATATGAATTCCTTGCCATGATAGCAGCATTTTCTTCAAACGTTTTTGCTATGGTTACTGGCAACGAATGTGTAAAAGAATTTTTTTTCTACTGACCCTTTTTGTCGAGTTATACGAGTTTATTATTGTTATTATTACTATACGAATTATTGTTTTGTAAACTTCAGCACTTTTTCTTTGTCACAAGTTTTCTTAAAATTCTTAACTCATGTCACAGTTATGATAGAGAATCCAAAATTGCTGACCTATTAGAACTTTTTCCGTGATTTTTGGCTATAAACTATAATTTTTTGCAAATTTTTTTTTGCAAAAGATTGCAATAAATAAATTTATTGCTTTTTTTAAACAATGTGTGCTTCGATAGCTTATTTTCTAAGCTTTCTAACGATAGATATATAATTTGTATTGGGAGTCGCAAAAGGACTACAAGTTTTTCCTTGCATTTTGTCGGCAATAAAATACGTTTACAGAAATGAAAAAATTGTTCGACCAGCGACATTTTTATATGCATTCCGATTTAAAACTTCCAGCTGAATCCGAATACGAAATTAAAATATAAGAGAGATCTTTTTTTTTTTTAGATTTGTATGAAGAATTTTCCGCTGAATACGAAATCGGAATACAAGAAAGTAAAACAGTTTTTGAGATATAGCCAAATTTCGTGTTTTTTGAGAGCTTCATATGTACATTAGGCTGTGTGGTATTGTAGCAGGGATAATATGTTTTTCTTAGGTTTAATAATAATTTGCCACAGAAGATTAATATAAAAGTTTATCATTAGTCCGCGAAGTTGATTACAAGTGTAACAAATTTTTAAAAAGCTACCTTGGTTTGTAATATCTAGGGAATACGGTTACCGTTAATTTAGTAACCAAGTTAATAAATGTGAAAAACAAAAAATGGTGGTGAATGAAGTTAACAGGGACTTGTTCGAGATCAGATATCGTTCGATAGTGTTTTCCAATACTTACATTCACTAAGTAAGAGTACAATGGAGTCACATCTATTTTAAGTTAATTATGTAGTTACCTTAATATAGAAAGGCCCTATCTCACATCGTCGCTTAAATGCAAAATAGGCGTAACTAACTAAAATTTTTGATTGCATAAAACGATCAATGATCAATCAAAAAGTGAATTTTGGATTTTAAGTTAGTTACGGCTTTTTGCGATGTGATATAGGGCGTTTCTATATTAAGATTGCGATATAATAGTTCTAATTTGACCTGACTGAGTTTTCAATTTAAAATTTGTTTCCTTAAAAATACCATTGTATACATAAGGCCATATTTTTTTTTTTTTTGTGCGAGTTCGAAGCTCCCACATTTGTTTGCACAAACAAAAATAAAGGGCAGCAACTTCAGCTAACAAAACGGTTCTTAAGTTTGTAAGAATTCGCAAACAGAAGCCAATTTAGAACTGTAAAAGTATATTTGGAATTGCGACCTAAATACACCCTAGAAATATCAACAGCACAATACAACATTGCTTTTGTTTTGCTTTATAATTTTTGGGAATATTTGTCCACATGAAATTCGCGATAGGACCCCAATAGATTGGCGCTTAAACAATATGCTACTGTTTGGCCGAGCTTTGTGGCGGCGTGCGCCTTGATGTTGTCACACAAAGGGGAGGAACCTACAGAGTTTTACGCCGACTCCGAACGGCGATTGTACTTTTATAAGAAGCGGTCGCCATATTGTTTAGTTTCCAAATTTCATACCTATTCATTGCCTATTGAAAAAAGCTGTTATAACTCGGAGCGAGTAATTTTGCTCATATTAATTACAAGGCAAACAAATGTAAATATAAAAGCAAGACCAGTCGGCCAGGCACGACGATATAAAATAACTGAACAGTGACTCCTACATTAAATTACAGATCGACTTTATCTTGATTTGTTTCGTGATCTACGATAAGTCATCTCATTTCTACTTAATTTACTGATAGATCTTTCAAGGCGAAATTGCTTACTTTCAAATATGATTCGCCCATAAATTAAGAATGAACCGGGCTAACCGATCTTTCAATGACCACAAAGTAGTCGCAGTGTTTTTAATTGCTCCTTGCTCTATTTTATCACTAGATCCAAATCAGTTTGAGCGCGGCTTGAGTTGCCCCAAAAATGGCTGAAGCCCATTCTGCCGTGGCGTTCTCCTTCGCCATCACTCACGAAGGATTCGACATTAATTACGATCAAGAGGTCTTAAACCTTGTTTGGAATTCCGGCGTGCGTTCGTGGAAAAAACGCTTGGCTCGTGCTCGCGTAAGTGACCTCGATTTTTCATAAAAAATCTCTGTAATAATGTACCTTCATATGTAATAAATGTATGCATGTGTGATTTTATTTTTATTTTTACTTTCAGAACGGCATTCGTAATGGTGTATACCCGGCACATATACAGAGCCTATGGCTCATAACAGCCATTGCCATTGGTCTACATTTTGGTGGATTTGCCGTGCCCTTTGATCTGGTTCATCGAATATTGGTTCATCTTCCCGCTAATACCGTTAATTGGCAAGTAACAGCTTGCTTCTTTGCAGCTTTGGTTATCTGGCTTTCTATATGTTTTACCATGCGCTACACCCTAAAGTTGCTGCTGATGTATAAAGGTTGGATGTACGAGTCTAGAGCGCCGGGCAGCAAGGTGTCTATAAAAACTAAAATATGGGCTGCGGCAGTAAAAATACTCTCCAGTTGGAACACCCCTGGTCTGTACAGCTTTCAGGGTTCACTACCGAGATTGCCTGTACCAGCGCTGCACGATACAATGCAGCGATATTTGCGTTCGGTGCGTCCATTATTGGACGACGAAAACTTTGCTCGTATGGAGCGTTTGGCGAATGAATTTGAGAACACAATCGGCAAAAAGCTACAATGGTACTTAAAACTGAAAAGCTGGTGGGCCACCAACTATGTTTCGGATTGGTGGGAGGAATACGTTTATCTCCGTGGTCGTAGTTCTTTGATGATCAACAGCAACTTTTACGGTACAGACGCGATTTTCATGAATTTGACTAATAACCAAGCGGCTCGCGCGGCAAATGTTGTATATTTGTTATTGGGTTTTAGACGCTTAATCGAGCGACAGGAGTTGCAGCCGGTATGTAAAGAGAAAACACACATCCTGAAACTTATCGAATGGTCGGTCCTAACCAATTTCCACATGTTTCAGATAATGGTGCAAGGCATGATACCGCTTTGTTCATGGCAATACGAGCGTACTTTCAATACGGTGCGGGTGCCCGGCCTCGAAACTGACCGAATTGTGCATTACCGCGACTCAAATCACATTGTTATTCTGCACAAAGGATGTTACTATAAGGTGGTTATCTATTTCAAAGGTCGTATTCTAAGGCCATGCGAGATTCAAATACAAATCGAGGAGATATTGAACTCGAAAGCCATCCCATTGCCGGGCGAGGAGCATCTAGCAGCCTTGACAACAATGAACCGTTCTAAATGGGCTGAGATACGTAACGCTAACTTTGCCCGAGGCGTAAACCGTGTTTCTCTCAACATCATAGAGTCGTCGGCTTTTGTGTTGTCGTTGGATGACGAGCCTTTCGAATTTGATTTGGCACGACCAGAGTTGCTTGATAAGTTTGGCAAAACGTTACTGCATGGTAATGGATATAACAGATGGTTTGACAAGAGCTTTACTGTATGCATTGGTACAAATGGTCGCGTTGGCTTTAATGCTGAACATACTTGGTAAGTAGACGTTTTCTAAGTATGTATTTATGTAGTGTATTGTTGGTACATACATCCATACATACATATGTATGTATGTACTTGCACCATTTGCAATATTGATTTAACCTCTCGTTGACCATTGAACCTTTCCAAAGGGCCGATGCTGCGGTTATGGCTCACGTATGGGAGAATCTTGTCATGGACGATGCCACCACAAATGGGTAAACCAGACTCCATATTTTCACCACACACATGCACAGACTTTTCCTGTCACATGTGCTACATATTCTTGAATGCTTGTAATTGAAACATAAATATGAAATGGTGGAGGTCGCTTTTACTTTTATTTTATACCCATTTGTGCACCTTCTACCATGCCTTCTACAGTAATTTCAAATTTAACATTTGTACATACATATGAATTTACATCCATATCTATCGTCGTAATCAGTGCAGAAGGTCCTATTTCAAGTTTCGAAAGGTTTTCCCTTTGCTATAAAATTTCATATTTGTCAAATGGGGCCGTTTGCATTGATGTTAACGATGATAGGTACTAGGGCACTGTATGATTACATTACGCATCGTACGATTTCTCTTCCATATTTATTCTCTTATTTTTGGCAAATTTTCAAAATCCTTTTTTCATAAATTAATTCATTAAGTCAAAATTAAAATTTTATACCAGTCGTTTTTACAAGAATGACGACATAAACAAATAATGAGAAATATAATCAAGAGAATTAGTTTTGAATTTTTTTGTTGCGATTTCAAAATACATACTCAAGGACGTGGCCAGGATCTGATACATATACTAGTTAATTTTTTTTATATATATTTTTTTAAGCATTTTTAATATCGCGGTTTTCGGTAACGAGCTTTCTATAGACGCTCATCAAGCATAGTCCAGAAAGCCTTTCTTCTCGTTATGCTTCTGAGCCGCCCTTGATAAGTACTATAAGTAATGGCACAAATCAAACAGAAAAAAAACTAATTTACTAAATGGAAAAGGCGTGTCGGGTCTTTGTTTCTCATAAGATTACTAAATGAATATTAATCGACGATGCGGCGATCCCACCATGCCAAGTGTGTTACTGTTACATATCGGCATCGGCGATATTTTTATGCAATCATGCAGTGCTCTAATACGTACATATGTATGTATGTATGTATGTACATATCGCTACCTCAAGTCACAAAGGCCCTAACTAACACTTTTTTCGAAAGTGCGTTTTTCACCAGATTTTGTATTAAAATACACATTCGATAAAAATTTTAAAGTGTAAGTACCAAAAACGAGGGTGTTGTAAGCCTTTTTGTTGTTGGTTAGGGCCTTTGTGAATTAAGGTAACGATATAGGTATGCATATGGTCATTTCAATAGGGAATTCAACTTTCTGTAACATTGTTAGTGCTTTTTTTCAAGTTCATAAATTTAAGACCAAATGATCGGTTAAATAAGTTTTTCTTTAGAACGCTAAATCCAAAGTAAAAACTTTGGCAGCCCATTAACACATCCACGGATGGACGTTTTTGACTGAATTGTTATTCAAATAAAAAATAAAATTTATTCATAATTTTTCTACGTTTGAATGACGAGTAAATTTATATTCTTCATTCAAGTAATTCCGAATCATGGTACAATTATTCACAGGTATTGTCTTCCCAAGAATTTTGCATCACATCCAAATCAGGGATGATAAATGAGTTTTTTTAATTTTGTACCAAACTTGGCAGCATTGTATAGTTTTCGACGATTTTCGTCGCTTACTTATTTCAGCACGACAGTAGACAATGCCAATGTTGTCGAGTCGTACAATTTAGCCTAATTTACGACTTACGCAATGAGGCTGATTAATCTTCCTGATTACGCTCATCCCGGAACACAGCTACTTAATTTATAAGCTTGAATACAGCACTGATTATATTACAAAAATTATAATTTCCAACAGAAAGGACCATCTGTAGGGCAAACTACTTCGTTACTACTTTTTTAATTAAAAATTGCAATCGGCAAAAGTTTTCAATAACCCCTTTTTGATTTCTTTAACAGTATGTAACGGCATGAAATATATAAAAATATAACTTGATCCTCACTTTGCGCGGTCCCCTCTGTGCGATATTTTACGCAGCTCGTTTTCAACATCTCCCAACCACTTTTTTACGCGGTTACACATTGTGTACGAGGCTTCCGCGATATTTGAAAAAAAAAACAAAAAACAAATAGTTTAAATATTTTCGTAAGTTTTGTGAACGGCACTATCGCACGTTTAATAACATACATAGAGATGTAACTCAAAATTTCGAAAATTTACGTTTTTTTGAGATTTCAACATACAATTAAAACGCTTGATAAGGAGAATATGCTCTGCCTAACAAATAACTAAATTTCCCAAAAAAGGCGAAGATGTGTGTCTCTCCATCTGGTTTTTGGCGTTTTCCACAAAATTTAAATTTTGAAATAATTCTGTATATTATTAAACGTGCGATATGTACGTACATAGTGAAATGATCCACTGTGCCTACGTAGAGACTCATGACTTTTTCTTTTAATATGCTGACAAGGCTTTAATTCCACCTTTCTGATGAGTTTCATTTTCGACCGTAATCGTTCACTTTTCGCTTCCCTGTATTCACTGCGGGCGGATGGGAAAAATCTGGCGAATACTTTTTCGAGCGAATCTCCGATAATAATGCCGATTTTAATTCAACTTTAGCCATATTACCAAAAGTATACTACATTTTTAATCGTTCGAGTTCGAGGGAATTTGCATGCGGAAGACGAATTCTTTTTTGCGCACGTCTGTTCTACGCGGATTAATTTGCAAAGTGGTATTATAAAATGAAGCGAGTTTTTTTTAAATGACCCAACTAACCGCGTGAAAAGAGAATCAAGTATAAATAGACCCACCCATTATGACTTACATTGGCTCTATTTTGAAATTTGACTGCCAATTAAGAATTTAAATACAACAAAAGAAAATCTAACGTTTTTCGGTGTTGTTGGCCCCCACTTTTTCCAATAGTTGCCGATATGTGAATACATACTTATTTAAGTATCTGTATAAGTGCACTCGAATTCTTACAAATACTGATAAATTTATAATTTCCTTCGGTAAAATATTTGTACATACATACATACATAGGTATTTTACATACATACATATCGTCACCAGAAATGCAAAAAGACGCAACAAACATCATCGTTGAAATGCAAAAAGTCATAACTCATAAAAATTTCCAAAAAATTCACTTTTTGATTTATATGATGGACTTCATCGAATTACAACTCCCCACATCATTTTATGGAAAAAAAATTCAAATATTCAATGGCTAACCTTCTTCCACGAAAAAAAGTAAATAAATAAATATTTCCTCTCCATTTTGTGATGTACTCGGGCCCCATAAGCAGAAAAATTTGTAAGTGCCAACAAGTACGTTTATTATACTACCGTCGGGGTGGAAGATCGCTCTATGTCAGCAAATGGTTCAAGAACGACCTATTTCGGAATTTGTTTTAAAAACGCCCTACATATCTCAAAGTCTGGCTGAAGAACGGTCTAAATATTTCCGTTGCCGCTTCCAAACCGCCCTATCTCAACATATTTTCAGTTGTGCTAGGACCTTTTTGAACCAAATTCAGAGATAGGACGTTCTTCAACCATTTGCTGAAATAGGTCGTCCTTCAATCAAATTCTGAAACAAGGCGTTTTCAAACCTACAGCCGAGATAAGACGATCTTCCACTCAGCCTTTGATATGTAATACAAGTGGTATGGGAGCCCCTCTGAGACGCTACATTTCCGAGATGCAAAAAGAATAATCGAAATTGGTTGACGTGGTCCAAAGTTATGCGATAACATACATAAAAAAAAAAAAAACAATATTCCGACGAACTGATAACCTCCGACTTTTTTGGAAGTCGGTTAAAAATGGATAATCTCTATTGACTTTCGTATGAAGTTTGAAGGTTTTTGAAAGAAAATTTGTAGGGCCATTGATATGTATGTATGTATGTATGTAGTACCTATATTAAGGTAATAATATTAAGCTGACATTTTTTACGTTAATTTGTATTATGGTTGTAAGTAACGCTTTCCCGAACATTTTAGGGCTGATGCACCGGTTATGGGTCATCTTTGGGAATATATTTTCGGTGATGATATATATGGGTAATTTTCAATTGCATACACATTCATTCATTCATACATTTTCTCGGACATTCAAACGTAGTAGATATCGTTCACTTCTTATGCACGCACATATTTATCTAGTCATGTATTTAATTATGTATTGTAGTGAAAAGTATTCCAAAAATTAACAAAACTATTATTCAGCACTAACAAATAATTCGACATCCAATTTATGTAGTATGTTTACTTCTGCGCTGTCGGGTACAAATGCATAACCATAATTTAAGATCTGTTGCCAGAGCTCGCTTCTTGAAGTTTTGAATATCTCATTAAAACTTTATTGAATATTTTCTAAAAAGTAAAATAGTAAATAGTTTTATGATTTTTCTACCTGGCAGCACAGGTTTTTTTTGTCTTCCATTACATGTACATAATTATTCATATTTGTATTAATAAAATGAAAAATTCTGCCTGACGAGGAAGTTTTATAGAAAATGTATACAGTAAATCAAATTTTCAAACTATTTTCTTTTTGCGTTCTAACATTACCTGTATTGTTCAGATATATACATATATTAATTGCATACATCTAATTTATACGCATACATCGCCCATTTATTAAAAGACAGCCGGGATTCGTAAAAATATATTTCGTTATGTAATACTTTTATTATTTTGTGTAAGAATTTTCTACTAAAAATCTTGGGTGAGAAGAAAACTTTAAAGCCATTTGCTGAAAAATCCCGTTTTTTAGTTCTTTCAGTATTTTAAAAAATTTGCGATACACATATATGTACATGTATATTTGTATTATGTGTGTATGTACATGTGTTTACTAGACTATACAAAGAAACAACAATAACTATAATAATATCGCAAAATATTTTCTCCAATAAAATGCGCTGAGCAGACGGTGAGCGAAGGAGAAATCTCAACTATAATTTTGGCAAACGCGGA